CAAATGCCTGTAAAAGTCCTAGCTACTCAGGAGGCTGAGGCAGGAGGATCACTCGATAGCCTGGGAACTGGAGTCTGCAGTGAGCTATGATGATACCACTGCATTCCAGCCTGGGCAAACAGAGTAAAACCCTGTCTCTCAAAAAAAAAAAAAAAAAAAAAAAGAAAGAAAGAAAGAAAAAGAAATTTATTTGGGGAGATCTGCTTGGTGGGTGGGTGCATGATGGATAATTTGAAGTGGATAACAACAAGGTGGCTAAGGGACTAGTTAGGGTTCCCATTGATCAGTTGTCTGCACTAACTAGTTGGTATCTCTTGGCTTTAAATATTTGATTCCTGGAATATTTGTTTATTAATAAAGACCTCAAAAGTCCAACAGCCTCTAAAAGCTATTGATATCTTAAGTATTATAAGAGGGGTCAGAAGAGACCTTTATTATCCTTCAAATCAACCATATATGCTATCACACGTAAGCTGTAACAATGCTTTCTAAGGTGCTCCACAAAAGAGTTCCATCATATTTAATAGGTTTGCTGAAAACAAAACAAAAACTAAAATCATATCTATTCTGTAGATAGGCCTGTGGTCAAATAAGTGTGGGAAACCCTACATTAAAATTCAAAGAAGTTCAAAAGTTCCAGTGTTGATAAACCACCAAAGGGAATGTGAGTGGTGCTAGAATCAAAAGTTGCTTCCCAAACTTCTTCAGTGGTGGAACCCTGCATGTAAGTGTGTGTGTGTGTTTGTGTATGTGTAGTATATGCACATCATCTCTAGGACTAGTGTCTTGCCCAACACACTCAGTCAAATGTCAGTATTAACTACTTTTCAATGAAGCCAACAGCATTTGGCTTATGGATCACCAAGTTTCTTCTTGTCATAACTCCCTTTGATGTTTTATATAACTGCATTTTAAAGCTCCTTTTCTTCCCAACAATATCTGTGCCAGAAATTGGGCAAGAAAAAAAGGAGAAATGTAGAACAACTCTTTCTCTTGACATTTCTTTTAAGAAAAAGGCACAGGAAGAGAATAACTCACACTAAGGTTGCTACCTGCCTTAGATATCAAGTTGTCTGACTTTCAGAGATTCTTTGCTTTATTCCACTACCCATACTCGACAGGCAGACCTGGGTTTGAATACTACTTTGATCATTCTCTAGTTGTGGGTACTTGGATAAGTTACTTAACTTCTTAGTTCTTTCCATCTTTTTTTTCTTTTTTTTTTTCCTCTGCATACATTTATATTTTCTACAGTGTGAACTTTGTTTCTTAGAAGAGAGATTTCATAGAAAGAGCAAATAACTCTGTAAACATATAATCTGGAATGTACTTAAAGTTTCTAAAAACTTTTTTTGGCTATTTATAGTTTTATTAAATTTGGATTCCAGATTATTTTATTAGTGCTAGGATGCCAAGAGAAACACTATTAAGAAGTGGTGGTTAGTAAAGATTGGTGTTGGCCTGAGGTGTTCAACTGACTTACCTTATTAGACATATTCTCACCTGCTTTTGTCATTCAAAATGTGCTATTTTGTTTTGCAAGGTCAGTGTCTAGTAGGAAATGCTTTTTATGTCTGTGTCATGTCATGTTTGTGCTTCATTTGCAGGATTTGCAAGGTTTCTAACATGATTTAGGTCACTTAGCTTTTTGTTTCTGTCTAGTGTAACACATACACACACAGAGAGAGAAAACTGTTATAGTAGGATACTAAAATGTTTATGTTTTATGGTTCTAATATCCACATCCTAACAAAAACACAGTGAATGCTTCATAACAAGACCTACAAAATTCTCCCTGCAGAGGTCACATAACGTTTGTTACCATAGTCACTGGAATTAATTTATTTTCATCCTTTGGTGTTCCATAAGTATTTGAAAAGCAGAGCTCATAAGTGGTGTTCCTATAATGATTTTACTTGGGACAAAAACATCTGGAGGTTATTTATAGATACACTGTAGTCAAACCATGACAAAGCATGAAGTTGCCCATGGAGAATGTGGACTTACATGTTCTTGGAATGTAAGTTTTCTATGAGACTCCTGATTCAAGATATTTTTACCTAGCCAGATTTGTGGTTTTTTTGAGACAGAGTCTTATTCTGTTGCCCAGGCTAGAGTGCAGTGGTGTCATCATAGCTCACAGCAACCTCCAACTCCTGGGCTCTGGCCATCTTCTTGCCTAAGCTTCCTGAGTACCTGGAACTATAGGCGCATGCCACCATGCCCTGCTAATTTTTTCTATTTTTAGTAGAGACAGGATCTCACTCTTGTTCAGGCTGGTCTCAAACTCCTGAGCTCAAGGGATCTTCCCATCTTGGCCTCCCAGAGTGCTAGGATTACAGGCGTGAGCCACCACACCCATCCTAGACAGATTTGTTAGTACCCATGAGGGAGAAGTCCTGGCACATAAAAAGCTGAACTCAATAAAGATAGCTCTTAATATTATTATTTATCGAGCACTTTCTGTATGTAGGGTGATGAGAATGAAACCAAGAACAAAGATACTAGATATGACACTGGTCTAGGTCTGAGAAAGAGGCAGAAATGCTGTGTCTTCAAAAACACACATACTAGATTGTTGCTCATCTTTAACATGCTGACTTTCAAGGCATCTAGCTGCCCCTAGGACCTAAGATTGATTCTACAGGTCTGTGTCCTGCTGTGATAGAAGTTCTTTAATTATAAACCACCAAAAGTACGAGTATACTTTATCCATGTCTTATTTATTTGAGCTGCTCTTTCTTCTCCCAATTCCCCATGATTGTTGTTGCACTAATTAGAAGAATTAGTTGCCTATTACAATTCTCTAGTTTAAGGTTTTGGTGTGCATCCTATTCCTAGCCTTTTAGTACTGGTTCAAACGTACCTTAACTTTTAAATTTCTAATTTATTGAGTTCAAATTCTGTCATCTTCTGATGCTACTTCTTCGAACCCTTCCCTGACCTCCTGCCCACCATAGATGGAGACAGCCACTCTCTCCACTGTTCTCTGCCTCTATTATGCTCCTATCAGATGAATGACATTTCATTATTTAGATGTTGAACTCACAGAGCACAGAAGCTATATATTAATCACCTCTGTGTTACTATCACCAAGCACAGAGTCTGGATTATAAATATCAGTTGAATTGAACTGAACAGGCACAAAAAATAACACTGCCAGGAATCACAGATAGGAATGTATTTCTGTTCAGCCTTTGCTGTGTCTCCAAGGCACCATATACACAGCTGGGGAGGGGACCAGGTAAGTGAAAACACATTCGGGAAATTCCACGGAGTGTAGCTATGGCTATCAGAAGACAGGAGACTCTTTTCTTGCTTCTTTTGGTAAATACTTATGAGACAGCCTTAACAGCCGATAGTTTCCAAGGATTCACACGAAGGTAGGACATTTTTAATAAATTTAGTGGCTCGTAAATATTAATTTTTTAAACATATGAAGACAGAGGTTGAATCTGAATGTGTATGCTGAGGAAACGCAGGATTTACCCTTGTGACAACCTGCTATGAATTTTAACAATATTTGAAATATTTTGTTGCTAATTAGCTGATTTGATATTTGACTGCTGCCTTAGGGAATTTACAATGACCCATTAACAATTTAACACTAGGCCAATTAGGTAAAGCCTTCAGCTTCCTAGAAATGCCTAAGTGTGTGACAGAAGGCAGCAGTGACATCATACTTAGGTAACTAGAGGCTAACCAGTGTCCTCCCCACTCCCACCCAGGACATCTGAATGAGCTTCCCAAGAACCACAATTCCGTGGCCCAGTGAGCATTCGTAGCCCTCTCTTCCTTGCTGGGGATGGAGGTGGTAGTAGTGGTGGGGGAGGAGAGGAGAGGGGAAGAAGGGGTGAGTTACTTCTTCCTGCATCTCTCTTTCTTTTTCCCTCCCACAGCCACCCAGGCTGCCATGTCAAACTGCCTGAAGCCCAGCTCCTTCCTTGGCTTCTTGGAAAATTCACTTGCACTTGAGTTCAGTAACTTTATCAAAGAGTCAGGGCATGGGAGTGAATACAGGGACAGGGATTGGTCATAGAGGCTGTGTCTCAGTCTTAATCCATTTGGGCTACTATAACAAAATGCTATAAACTAGGTGACTTATAAACAACAAAATTTTATCTCTTACAGTTATGGAGGCCAGCAGGTCCAAGATCAAAGCACCAACAGATTCAGTGTCTGGTGAGGGCCCATTTCCTGGTTCACAGATGGTGCCTTCTTGCTGTGTCCTCCCCATGGTGACCCTCTGAGGCCTCTTTTATAAGGGTGTAAATCTCATTCATGAAAGCTCCACCCTTATGACTTAATCACTCCCCAAAGGCCCCCACCTCCTAATATCATCACCTTGAGGATTAGGGTTTCAACATATGAATTTTGGGAGACACAAACATTCATTCAGACTAATAGCAAGATGTGAATGCCTGCCTTCTTGTTAACATCCCTTGCCACTGTGCTCCTTCCATTATATCCTCCAGTACAACTGAGTTTTTCCCTTCCCCTCATAAAGAAGAGTTCTATCTGCATTCAGAGCTCAGTGTCTACTCTCAGGTGGCTTAGCAAAGTCTCTTCCCAACAAACATAAGGCTTTTCTTGAAATGAGTTCTATTATAGAACCAGCAGCTACATTTCCACCCACCCCATATTGCCATTCTTGTAATATTTTTTTTTAATGAGTTTGTGCTAGTCTAATTTAAAAGTAATGATCCCTTGGATTTTTTGCTGTACCTGTAAGTGATTTGGGGTGGGGCAGAGATATGGAGGAACCTAGACTGTAAAAGTTCTGCAATCAGCAATGCTGTTAGTTCTATCCTATCATTGAGTGAGGTATTATTTTCTTTTTCATATTCTTGACACTACTGTTTGTATCAATGGATGGTGTATGAGTCAGGGCTCAACCAGAGAAGCAGAACCAGTAGGAGATATATATACGTACATATATATGTGTGTGTATATATATATACATATACACATATGTATATGTTTTATATATATTAACATATTTTTTTTACAAGGAATTGGCATACACAGATGTGGGTACTGGCTTAGCAAATCTGGAATCTGTAGGGTGAAAGGGAAGCTGGAACTCAAAAGCATGGGCCAAAGCTTCTGTTCACAGAGAGAATTTATTCTCCATTTGGGAGAAGCCTCAACCCTGCTTTTACAGTCTTTCCACTGATTCAGTCAGCCCTACCTATAATATCCAGCCATAAATTCCGGGGTATTTTTGGACTTTAAGTAAAGTCAACTGATTAGGGGCCTAAACTACATCTGTAAAATATCTCACAGAAACACCTAGATTGGTGTTTGATTGAATAACTGGGGACTGTAGCCTACCCAAGTTGACATATCAGAAAAAGCCACTGCAGATGGCTAAACTGAATACAATGTTCACTAAAGGATGATGTTAGAATGCTTTTCAACAACATTTTTCATATTTAACTAATAAAAAAAGGAAATATTAAATATACCTAAGAATTTCCCTCCATCATATTAAACTCTCCACCAAAGCATTTTCCTAAGGAAACTAAAGGTATGGATGGTAAGTGTGGAAATGAAAGGGTTATTGTGACTTGCGTTAGAAGAAAAAATGCTCATTTTATTTATTACACTTGGATAGTCCTAAATAAGTTTGTAATTATAGCCTTAGGGAAAAAATGGAGTTAATTTTTTTTAATGGACAACCAAGATTTTTTTTCACATTAAACTCATTAAGCTAATATATGCATTCATTCACTCAAGAAATATATAATTCAGCCATAGTATATGGCACACATTGTGCTAGATTCTGGGGATAAAATGGTGAATAAAACAAAGACTGACCCTGCCTTCAAGAATTTTATGATCTAGTTGTAAAACAATGCATTAATCAAATATGGACACAAATGATCTTCACAAACTGTAATAGTTGCAATCAGTCTATATTAAATGATTCTTGACCTTTTCTGGAATGTCAGGAAGTTCACCTGAGGAGGCACATTTGAGCTGGGCTTTAAGGAATGAGCCAAAGGTACCTGGGTGAAGAAGAGGAGGAAGAGATTTCCAGGCAGTGGTAAAAACCGACATGAAGACTCTCACCAAGGCCAGGGAGGCTGGAACACAGAAGGTGACATGGAACATGGCAAAAGACAATACTGGAGAAGTTGGCAGGAGCTAGTTTGAAAGCCTTATTAGGGACTCTCTTTGGTCTTTATCCTAAGGGCAATGGTAGGTATTAAAGGATTTTAAGATTTTGAGCAAAGGAGTGACACAACCAATAGCAATAACTTCCAGTAGGACTCTGTGAGATAAAAGTTCTACTTTAGCCACTAAGGCAGAGATAGCAAAAATTCAGCATCTGTAACAATGAATCCTTGTGCCTTAGCTGCAGCAGACATCACTAATCAATCATGGCAGTTTTTACCCTGACTGAACCAGACTTGACAGTCTCAGAACATTTCAGATAGACAATACTAATCAATCTAATTTGTCACTTAAGACAAACCCTATATCACTAAGTTCTTTTGCTTTTCTCAATAAAATACAAGATTATTTGGGGTGAGATTGCCACATAGCACTCAGGACACCCAATTGAATTTAAATTTCAAATGAACAAATTATTTTTTGAGTATAAATATGTCTCATGTAATATTTGGTACACACACTAAAAGTTATTTATTGTCTGGGTTAAATGAATATTTAACTGATGATTTGCTAAACTTGGCAATACTAGTTTAGGGGATTTTATTGAAGTAAAAAAGGTCAAAAAAGCCCACAACACACCACCATGATAATGGTGTGTTTCTATATAAGAAGAACCAAATGACTTATAATAAACTACTAAACTAATAAAGATAAAAATAAACTAATAGTAGTTTTAAATTCAAAGGAATAAATGGTAGTTATTCAGGTCATGACTAACTCAAGAAAATTTTTGATACAATGAAAATAAATCATGCTTCTAGAATTTTGTGGGATTTCCAGTAGCTTGCAAGTGCTTACATGCAATAGGAGGTTTTCATCCCTGCCAAGCATTATATAGCAGACATCTTAGAAGAATATTGAATTATATTCCTCAATAAATTCTAGGAGCTGCCTAGTTTTAGTTTATAAATGCAAAATTTCAGTAACCATTAACAAATGGCTTAGGAATTTACTAGAAAATAAACGTTGGTGGTTTAGGTAAACTAAAGCCTATGGATTTATGGGTAATTCACCCAAAAGAACCAAAGCAGAGAGTTGCAGTTGTAGATCAGTCTGAGGGTCATAAGGTGGCCCCATGTGGCTTCTATTTTGAGAGTTACTCATCTGGGCAAAATCCTTTTTCTGATATTTGAATGCTCAAGTAGGTGGTAGATATTATAATGTCTTAATCTATCATTTAGGTAAATCTTGTGAAATAGAAACTGTAATTTAAGTCTTCTAATTTTATCACTAGATATTTTAAGAAAAATGTGAGTTGGTAAAATACACCAAGGCACTTGGACCTCTTGGGTCCAAAATATATTTTAAAGGCACATTATCTGTTGTATCTCTAATTAATTCTAATATTTCAGTGTCTCTAAGCTGGCTGGGATCAGCATTGCCTTTCTTCTGAAAGAGTTTATATTACAAGCTTAACTATCATCTTTCTTTGTGGGATTTGTCCTGTGTTGACCATATTCATTTCATATTCAAGATGGATGTTCTTCTAGCCCCTTTGCTGGCTTGCCCAGATTCCTTTCAATAAGGGTCCTGTAATTAAGGTTGGGAGGTGTGGTTGTTGACTGAGTACCCTGCAGATTGCTCATTAACATGCCATCTGAACAATTTAATAACCTTTTTAATTAATCTAAAATTGGCATGTCCCTCTTCAGGCTACAGTGCAGCTTTTGCAAGTGTTGGTCTCTTGGTAGTTCTCAATTTAGCTTATTATTTGAAACCTAAATCTGCCCAGGCTAATAAGCGTGACCAATTCCTCTTACCAAAACCACGTAGGAGTCTCCATCTGCACTTCACTAAAGAATGAGAGGAACAGATGTCTTCGGGTGGTATTCTGGTTGCTGACTTTTTAAAGAAGTTCCCATCAGTCTAGAGATGAAAGGAAATAATTCATAAAGTGATTGAAAGTTACTTTGCTTTCTCTTTAATTATTATTATTTAAATTTTATTTTCAGGTTTGATGCTTTAGAGCCCTTCTTTTCAATTAGTTCACACTTTGGTGCTAGACATAATTGAAATAATTTCATGGCTTCTGGTAATTGGATATTCTGAACCTTTAGTATTCCTGAAGAAAATGGCTATTCTAATGGATTTCAAATCTATTATATTTTTGGCAAGGTTGAGCTTGTACTTATTTATTTTTTAACTTGGAAAGATAGGACTAAGGAACACTCACTCTTTAAAGCTTGAAAAAGATGTGTGTTTGTGTGTGTGTGTGTGTGTGTGTTTCACCTGGCCAAGGTCGCCAATGTTTGATCTATTTTCTTCCAATCAGATAGAAGCTTACCCTAGTTGTTTCTGGGGGGGGGTCATAAAAATGCCTTCCAGAGGCCTTTTCTCCAGCCTGCCAGTTGCATTCATCATGCTCTGTGCACTTTCTTTTCTACTTTCAGATTCACTTGCTTCTGCCTAAGACAAATGCTCCCACCCGCCATTGCTGAGAATCCCAACCATCCATTCTTACAACAAACATTAGCTGAGTGCTAGTATGTACCAGGTACTAAGCTAGGAATTTATGAAAATCCAGCACACTTGCCAAAAGCCTCTTCCTGAGGAGGACAGTGGAGCTGCAGTCCATACAGAGAGGTTGAACACCATCACCCCAATCTGATGGTCCTCATTGACACCAGCACTTTAAAGCAGCTTGGTGCCTGCTGTCATGCTCATAAAATCTCTTACAAACAGCCTCTACCTCTTGTAAAACAAAGGAAGGTTTGAAATATAGGTTTCCCAAGCTATACTCCCTCCATCCAAGACTCTTAAGATTTGAGCATGAGACTTGTCTCCCTTTCAGCTCTAGGCCCCCTGGGCAGCCATCTATGTGAGATGAAAACTTGTCCCAAGAGCACCGCCTTGGAATGGAAGCTCAACCCTGTGATAAGGTCGTGGGAGGTCTGCTTCTCTGACCCACATCAGTTAGCTTGAAGATAAAATATTTTGCAACTGGAAGTGCCAAGTTCTTTCAAAGTTTGCCTCGAGCCAGTCCATGCACTGCTACTTCCCACTCAATAGGATCAAAAAAATCAAGAAGGCAGCTGTGATGATTTGCGTGGAAACATCTATGATCTTCCACAGACCTTGAAGAACAAGCCAGAGGATACTCCAATGTAAGTCCTGGTCTCTGGCAGTAAAGCCATTTCATCCTTTGAGCACACAGAAGTCCCAGCCACCATAATGCCCTGGGTTCCTGCTCCTAAGCACAACGTGGATGCATTTCACAGAAGGAGTTGGAGGAAGACAAAGTCCAGCTATTGGTGGACTGGGCGATGGCACTTACCACTGTTTGTAAACAGGAAGGAGACTGATTCCACCTGTACCCCACTGAAGGTTTGATTATCCATTTTACATTATATGAGATTGTTTTGTTGGTGCTTGAGAATGCTGGAGAAGCTGCTGCCACTCCCCCCAAAAATAAAAAATATCAAATGTACTCACAGACCAAGAGACTGCCTGCATTTCACATCAGCTCCAAGTAAAGAACCACGTGTCTTCCAGCCACACTCCAAATGCTCAGGCCATGTTCATGCATGCCTCATTAATGTGGATAAAGGCTCAGTCCCACCACAGGGCTTCTTGCAAGAAGTTGCTGTGGAGTGCTCTTTCCTCCTGGCGTATCTTCTCTTCTGTCTGTGAACAGAGAGCAAGGCATATAACTGACAGCGGAAAGCACTGGAGAGTGTGTTATACAAAAACAAATAGAAGAGGTCCTTTTGGCATATCTTTTTAATTGGAAGGAAAAGTAGGCTTTTGAGTGACAGTATTTGCTAGACTTTTCTAAATATAGCAGCTTTAAAGCCTGAGGGCCAACAGGTATATAGAAAAACGTATGGCTTGAATCTTTAGTCCATAAGACATGTCCTTGGATGAAATATTTAACCTTCTTTGGCTCACAACAGCCCCTCTATAACCTGAGAGCATTGGGCTGTTGAAGAATTAATTGCAATAAAGCACACAATTCATAAGAAATACAGTTTTCTTTTTCTCTCACCTTTTGAAGGTTAGAAAGAGAAGGAAAGGAAACCCACCATGGAGGGCTCACCCCTGATCTACAGCGCTCCCACACAGCAATCTGTGCATGGAAATGTTTACTAAATCGCTCACAGTGAGAAGATCTGTGCTTTTTCTCCCTCAAGCCCCTCTCTCAGAAACTTACTCATTAAAATCTACTTTTTGGTGTGTGTGAGGGGACAGGAGGGAGTCACACTTGGCAAAATGTCAGGTTGACTTCTGTGCCCCTGTTTTTGTCAGCAGAAGCTCCGCCTGGGCAGGCTCTACTCCGCTGAGTGTTTTTCTGTCATTTTAAAAAGGAGAACAGCAAAGATGCAAATTGCTGAGGCTGCTGGGGAGACGGGCACACAAAGAGGCAATTCAGGCTGAGGAGTGTGCAGGGAGGAGGGCGGTGGGGGAGGGGAGCATGTGGCGGCTGCCTGACTTTGGGATGCTGGCCCGCTGGGGAGGGGAGTGAAGGCAGGGGACATTCTCCAGGTCCTTTCTTCTCCCCTTTGTTAGCAGATTTATTGGGCTTGTTAAGAAGGAAAGAAACATGGTGAGGCTTGGTGGCCTCTGGGCCCGGGAGGCCCTTCAGAATTCCCAACTCCAGGCATCTTGGGGCTCTCCCCTCCTGCGATCCCCTGACGGGCTCCTTAGAAACGCAGAGACCAATAACATCTCTGCGCCAGGTGGCAGGAATATGACCCAGGACATTACAGAAGCTGAGAGAGCCACCCTGCTGCCCTCTCCCCATCTCCACTCCACTCGAGGCTGCTCAGAGTACAAACACAATCCCTGCCATGAGCTTTATCCCCCTTCACCTGCCCTCAGTCCGTGCCCTCTGGAGGGTGGGTTTTTGATTCTGGAAGGGGCAGAGCATTATGGTGTCCGGAGATCTGGGTTCTAATCCGACCTCTAATTGGCACCCTGAGACTCTGGGCAAGTCCCTCTCCCCGTCTGGGCCTCAGTTACCTCTTCTGTAAAATGAGGGGGCTGGGCAGGGTGGGGGGTGTTCTGCAGAGCCCCATCCTGCTCTGACAGCCTCAAACTCAGCGGCTCTAATTGCCTCATTAGAACACCAGGGAATGCCTTTCTAGTAATTGTCTTCCTGGCTCCTGTCTCACCCACTCCCTACTGGGCTCTGCCTCCAAGGAAACAAAAGCAGCTGCTCTCTCCTCTGGGGTTTCCGCGAGCCCTTCTTGACAGCATATGTGCAGAGGCATTCTCTGTCCGTCTGCCCCACGCTGTCTGCGCCCATTTCTGAGGGCCGGGGAGGCCAGGTGGTGCCGCTTTTGAGCCCAACGCCTTTCTTTTCTGCTGCTTTTGCTAGCATAGCTGGCCTCTGTCCCAGGTGAGATTAAAGTGGCATTTATTACTCCCTACCCTGCTCCTGGATTTGGCGAGGGTGCTTTACAAACAACCATGTGCCTTGTTGTTGCGATCAAAGCGCTCAGCATCTCCTGGAAAGTGGAAATGGCTTGGAAGCAAATGGCAGTGAATGGATGGAGAAGGCTAATCTCGTATGACTGTCCCCAGAGAAATACACATTCAGGGATTTGACAGCTGACCTTTGGAAATGGTCTCCTTGCTATAAACCAAGATATTTCATTTCCTGTGTATTAAGAAATAGGCACAAAAGGAGTTGATAATGTGGTTTAAAAATTAGCCAAATGAACTGGCCCTATGAGTTTCTTACAAAACTCTTAATGTTTAGGAGTGTGCTATGTTTCTAAGAAGTCAGGAAACAGTTTCTGTGTGCTTATCTGGGCATGTGCAGGGCTGGCCAGGCAACAGATCAGAGATGCTGGAGGGACTTGGTAGGAAACTCAGGTCTAGATGGAGACCAAAGAAATTGACGTGTCTGGAGGAATCCAGAACATCGGAGGTCTAAAATAAACTGAGTCTAGGGAGGCAGCCACAGATGGAAGGTCACATGAATTTTGGAAGTCTTGGAAGTCTTGGCAGGTAGGGTCTAGAGACCAGCAAGGAAGAGACTATGGCCCCAGCAGATAAGAGACACTATAGTGATTTCTGACCCTGGAAAAGAGCAACTGCCCTCTACCCTTCTTCACTTCCCTATGGAAGGCAGGTGGTCATGGTTAACAGGTTTGTGTTTGAAGCCAGAGCTTTGTAGGTAATAGCTATTCCTGATTTATTCAGTAGCCTTTGTTCAGCCCTGTCATCTGAGGTTGAAGAGTATGGGTTCTGCCATTAGATGGAATAGGTTCAAATCACAGAACTGCCAGTTTACTAGCTGTTACCCTGTGCCTCAGTTTCCTCGTATGGGACGAATATTAATAATAGCAATCGACTCAGAGGGTGGTTGGGAGGATTAAAAGTTCCTAGAATATGCCTAATACATTGGAGGGTTCAATAAATGTCAAATACCATTAACTTTTTGACCTTTATTGAGATATCTAATAAAAAATCCAAAGGACAAAAAGATACTTTAGATGCTTTAGCGTGCATCAGAGTCACCTGGAAGACTTGTTAAAACAGGTTGCTGGAACCCAATCCCAGAGTTTCTAATTTACTAGATGTGGGATATGATTCATGGAACATACGTTGAGAACCACTGCTCTATATCCTATACACAAGACATGTGTACAAATGAGACCATCATTTATTTAACAAACACCCAACTGGCACTTACCAAGTGCCAGACTTTGCATGCATACACATGGTATTACAAACTTTGACTCATTTATTCCCTATAGCAATCCTATAAGGCAGGTTCCATTGTACCCACTTTATAGATTAGAAAACTGAGAGATGGAGTCACTTATCCAGACACTCTCAGGTGATAAAATGTTACAAATGTTACAAAAATGAATAAATGAAACAAGAGAGGTAAACCCTTCGATGGGAGGCACTGAGAGTTTGGGGTTTTCAGGCAATGTCGCTGTCTCCCGGGTTCTGATTTGTGCAGCTAGACTCTGCACTCAGGCTTAGGTCCTAGTGGGAATCTGGTGGCAATGCAGTTGTAGGTGCAGTAAAAGGAGCAGAGACTTTGGAGCCAAACTGGGGTTAGAATCCCAGCACTGCCAGGTGTGAACTGTGCTGCCTTGAGCAAGAGGATTCAGCTTTCTGTGCCATTTTCTTCATCTAACAGAAGAAAGAAGGATGAAAACACTAACACCTAACGAGTGGGGTTTTGGTCAGGGACAAAATAAGGGACTCACATGAAGTCCTTGGGAAAGAACAGATGCTCACGGAAGGCTAGTGTCTTTCACGTTTTCCTCAACTCTCTGGCCTCACAATTTCTCGTGCCGTCAATAAAGGCTTTTGCCTTATGATGATAAGTATTCATTTCACCCAGATGAACTTTTTCCTCAACTTGATTTCCATTTCTCTTTATCAACTGAAAGCATTTTATGATGTCTGAGTTAGAAAATAGCTTAGATCATTTATTCTTGGCTGTGTATCCAAGTCACCTGGGACTTAAAAAAAAAAAACACCAAAAACAATTATAGTACTTTGGCATCCTGCGGTAGATTGACTTTTTCTTCAAAAATATTCACTAGTAACTTCCATGGGAAGAACATACTTCCTCCCTCTGATATTAGCCTAGGCTTTGGTTTGGCCAATGGATGCTAACGGACATGATGTAGTAAAGGCATCCTCTGCTGTTGCCATGAGAAGACGTGCCCAACCTGGCATGCTGGGTCCTGGAGTAGGATGAGATACACACAGCTTAGAGTTGGGCTACCCAGTGGAGCCCAGCTCTCATCAGGCAACTCACTGCTGACCCCCACATGTGACTGAGCCAGCTCAGGTCAGCTGATATCAGGGAGTCTACAGCCTTGTGACCTAACTACTAAATTGTTATATGCCACTGAGATGGTTCGGTTCTTTGCTAAGGGCTTGATTTTAGCTCCATCTCTAGGTATTTGAGTAACAACAGGCTTGGGAGGGGGGGGCAGGAATATGTCTCTAAAAGCTCCCCAAGGTGATTTGGATATTAGCTAGAGTTGGAAACCACTGATCTCATGGACTCTCCTCTTTTTTTTTTAGAGAGAGAAGCTGAGACCCAAAGAAGTAGAGTGATTTGCCTAAAGTCTCTGGGGTGGGGTGGGGGACTAGTATTAGAATCCTTGGTATTTTACATTAGTACTCTTTCTACTGTATCACACTGTTCCCATCAAAAGTTAACATGGAAGAAGAAATTCATGTTCTCATAACTTAGATGCTTTGGGCAGGAGTATTTCAACCCCATACTGATACCAACCCTTTGAAACCCACTGATGAAAAGAAATACACAACAGAAAGAGTATATTGACTTTGGTTGTAATTGTATTTACTGTGTCAAACGACTCAGCTCGAGCAAAAATGTGGTCACTAGATCATGCACTTTAGAGGGAATTTGAAGTACAGTATTCTTTTTTAACTCAGAAAAGTTTATGCGATTTCTAGGCAATTATTTCCTGTAGGAATAAAAATATGTGTTACTCTTTCATCCTCATCCTCTTGCTGCAGTTCCTCCTCATTAGTGGTCTCCTTCCTCTGGAGCTGCAGTAATACCCTCAAAGCAGTGAATCTATTGCAGTTGAAGTTCGTCTTGTAGACCTGACAAAAATACAGATTGGGAAGCCGAAATGTCTATCTCGATTCAGACTCAGATACGGACTAATACTTAGTGAGCACCTGCTATGTGCCCAGCCCTATGCAAACTGCTCTCACACATGCTATTTCATTAAATGTCCAGAAACTGACAAGGAGTGGGTAGACCTATGCAGATTGTGCAGAAGGAAAAGATGAGAAAAGAGACACCAATGGCTCGAGGCTGTTATTGCAGACTCCTTTAG